TGACTTGTCATTTACTAAATATTAAAGAAAAATATTTAATATGTTGTTGGAACACCTCACAATACAGTGTTAAATAGTAGGACAGACTGGAGTCTTTAGCTGTGGTTGATGATGTTCGTCGAGAGACGTTCTCAATGCGTAGTCAAGGGTGATAATCAAAGAGAAAAGGTGCAAGAAGAAAGGAGCATTAGTACTGCAGGGTTTTCAAACAGTTTGTTTAAAATATTATAAATATACTATTTATGTCTTAATTTTCTTGTTATATAGTGTTGTTATAACCTAGAAAGGGTTACTGAGTGAGGAATAACCAAATGAAAGTTGGAAATGAAATGGTAATCTTTATAACATCAACAAAATACAATACTCGCCAGTGGTGTGAAGTAGGAAAATCACTGCTAGTGGTGGACTACTTAGCATATCACTTCCACTTACAATAGTGTCCAACGTATTTATGAGGATTGGGACATACCTATTAGTGTTCGTAGGTAAGGTATATAACAGTTGTCTTGAGTGTTCTTTCTGGTAAAATATAATGAAAGAAAAAATCAAATTAAAAGGCCAGTATTAAAAAATGAATTTGTAAAAAATTCAAATATGTAAGAATAAGTTTCATTTTATTTTCAGTACGATCCTTCAAAATGATATATGAGAAATCCCAGCTGTGTGTTAAATAGTAGGACAAACTGGGAGTCTTTAGCTGTGGTTGGCAACCAGTCTAGAAGGACAACTCTAAATTCAAAACTGTATGTAGCCTTGGTGATGCACATACACACACTTAAACGGCCATTGAAATTTTTGTGTTCACAATTAATTGCGGTGCTGACTGAGATCAAATGAAGGAAAAGAGGAACGGTTAATCTGACTCCTCTTCACTTTATTTTTTTTTTTCACATTCCAGGCAATGAACAAGAAGGTTACTTTGATCTTTGCATTTTTCACTAAAATTATTCATCTTTACAGTCATGTGCTTATAATTAACTCAAATATTATAACTAAAAGCAAAAGTTCTTTGTAGTTACTTGACAGAGGTATTCAGAAAGCTACTTGATTAATCCTTAAAATTTGACTTGCCACTTGCTAAATATTAAAAAAAAATATTTTCTTTGAACATCCATCAGTACTAACAGAGGGTTAAAGACATTCATTATATGTGTTCAAATTATTTTTTCTTGGGCTCAAATCTAATGATCTCATTTAACAATATTTGCTATTTGGTCATGCCTGCAAACAGGATTTTGGGAGTTCTTTGATATTTCATAATCTTGTAATACAAGTCAGTCATTGTTTTATAGTAACTGATGTTATTTCAGTTATATTATCCAAAACTGAAAGAAGTAACCGGTTTCAAGTACTTATAAAATACTTATTATTTCACGTGCCTTCAAGTGGTTTAGCTTTGAGATAGAGGTCAATGATAGTTTATATATATGCAGCTGTTTTTTGTGTGTCCTTGAGTTTTCATATTTACTTTTGGAAAGTTGACTCTGATTGAGAAGTTAGGGTCACAATTTATTTAACTTTTATTATAACTTATTAGCATAATTTCTAAGGAATTAGTAGAGTTTATTTATAATCTAACATTATTTCTTATTGTTTTAAATGTTAAGAAAAGCAAGAAGAAAGGACTAAATATCAGCTGCAAGAAGACAGAATGCATAGTCATTAGCAAAAGGAGCCCAAAATGCAAATTACAAATTGGAGATACCAAAATCAAACAAATACAAAAATTTATATACATGGGAAGTGCAACACTGAAATCTGAAAACGCATTGGGATAGCCAAAGATGCATTCCAAAAGTTAAGCAGGCTATTAAGAGACAGAAAAAAATTTGCTAGAAACAAAGAGTACTGAATTGTTACATGATATCTGTCTTATAGGTCAGTGAATGCTAGACAATCTCCTCAAAGATGAAGAGGAGACATGAAGCAACAAAAATGTGGTTCCACAGAAGGATACTGAGGCTACCATGGATCAAACATGTGAGCAATGATGTGGTTTTAAAGAAAATGGAAACAAAAAAAATGAAAATTATACTTAACAGCAGGAAGAGGCAGTTGAAATTTCTGGAGTATGTAATGAGGAAGGAGGGCTTTGAAAATCTGATACACACAGGACAGATTGAAGGCAAGAGGGACAGAGGAAAACAGTGCATAACATACTTGAGATCAAGTAAATGGATAGCAGAACAAGGTTTAGGAGAAATAATGAAAAGTCAAAATTTACCAAGAGCTACAAAAAGACAGGAAATTGTGGAGAGCCATAATCGCCTATGTTTTGAGGGAACATGACACATAAAGATGATGATTTAGCAGATACCTGAGTAGATACTGTTTTTTTTATTTTATAAGCAATGTAAATTACATCTACTGGCCTGTGCATTTGAGAGTTGGGAGGTCCATTCTCTTTATTAAGGTTCAAATGCACATGCCCATATATAAAGGGTGTTTCATTAAGGCGGATCAAAGTCAGCAGTAAATAAATCAGTGTTATTGGTGAAAATTTCTATATTTCTCTATTGGATCATGTTATTTAAGTCATGGCAATTATGTGTGAAAAATAATATTGCCCAAATGTCTGCCAAATCTGAAAGAAAAAGAAAAAAATCATTAAACACTTAAACTTAATTCACATTTAAAATCAGTCCAAGTTATTGGAACACCCTTTATAATTTGCACTGTTTAAAACAAAACAAAAATAAGAGGACATCTACTCAAACATGTGTATCCATTAAATATAATAGTTAAAGAAATAAAAAAATTATGTATCTATACTTTTGGCATTTTGATAAATGAAAATCTTTAAAATATTATTAAAGGACATTTTAACTCATAAATTTTTATTGATATTCTAATGACCTAATTTCTGTATGTTACAATAATACAGCAAAACATTGTAACATGATTTTTCTTAATGAAAAACTGTTAAATGTTTTAACTTGAAGGATAAAGCATTTTCAAGTAAAATAGTTTATAATTATTTAAGAATCTGTCTATATTTCTGAGATGAGGTATTATGTACACTATTTACATTATTTGGACTATTGTCCTCATCATTGTCACCATATTTATTACAATGTTTCAGCTGTTGTATGCTCCGGCCTTCTTAAGGTGCTTGGAATGTCGAACTGAACCCTTTATTTCGCTCACTGGGGTAGACTGTTCTAGTTCCACATGCCATGTTTAATGGATGTCAGTTATCAGTTATCTCCTGTTAATTCCCCTCTCCAAGTTCTCCACTGCCTTAACTGGGTGAGTTCAATACCCGGTTAAGGTAGTGGAGAACAATGATGAGGACAATAGTCTGAATAGTGTATTTAAGTATCATCATCAGTACTATGTCTGGGTGTGGTCATAGTGCCAAAGTGCAGTTGATTCCCTGATCTATCCTCTCCACATATCTGGATTGAAAACCGGAGAGATATTCATTCATGCATAGCATGACTTATGCTAGTCTCTACATCAAACCACAAACAATGTCTTCTAACTTGAAAGCTCACCTTGGTCACAGACTTATAGCCATTGATTCTATTATGGGAACCCACTCCCCAGGCTGGTGACTTCAGACTACCAAGCTTAATGAAATTATTGTGCATTTTGTATTGTCATGAAAAGTATATCTGAAGAAGTATAGAAAATTTGTGATGATAGAGAAACAAATAAAAATAAATAACAAGAAGTTCAAAATCCACAACTAGGATTTAAAGCTGTGTGCCAATGAGAAGCAAATGGCCTTCTCATAGCAGATCTATAAATGTATATATAAAAAAATGGAAAAATCAACCAAAATCAGAGTTAATAAATTAATTTTCTTCCTTCCCTGAAGTTGTAGTTATTGTAACATATCAAGAGTTGAAATACAACATTTGCATGACTAGCTGGCAACCTTAGATACTTAACCTGTCCTTACTACATTGAAAACAAACATACCTTTCTTCACCACATGGTCATGCAGTGGCTACTACATTTGAATAGAAAACATCCATAATTCCTATACATATATAATTACATTCATTCCCTCATTCTCTCCCGTACACATTCACAAACATAACCACCATAAATTGCATTATTTTTGGTATGCAGTTTACACAAATTTTGCAGGAAGATAGATGAATATCTAAAAAAAGAAAAGTGTATATGCATTTTGCCTTATTTGTTTTTAGAAGAAGAAATAAGTCAAAAGAAAAGAACTACAAAATACTAAAATGAATCTATTTAATTAGGTTTTTGTTTTGTTTTTTAAAAAACTTTTAAAAAAACATCTGCTACCTTTTGGTTGTTTTGTTAAAAACAACCAAAAGGTAGCAGATGCATTTCCTGACAATTTTCTAGCTTTTCTTTTATTTTTCTTATTTTTAATGCTGTACAATATATCTTCAGACATTGCCCTCCATAGATTTAAAATTGATGTTCAACAGACAAAAACATAAAACAGTCATTGTGTTCTTAATGAATTTTTTCTTCTGTCTATATATTTGAAATGTAAAAACTTTGGGACACAAGAAATATCATAAGAAGACACAGGAGAGTAGTGTAGCTTAAAAAGCTTTATTCAGTCTAGCATAGTACAAGAATAAATACTATTTATTTTGCTTTAGAATAGGAGAGTTCTTTAGTCAAGGGAGATAATCTCCAACAAAGAGCTGTAGTAAATATGTGGTTACCTATCACAAATATATAGTTTTTTTTTTCAGTTCAATTAGCTGGACCATTTGGAAATTCCATAAATGTTGACAACTAAAATTATCCATTATTTCATGCCTCTGTTCTTCTCTTGTTTTTTGCCTCTATCTTCTCAATGTTTCTCTTATCCCTTCCAAGCTTTGTTAACCATAATTTTATCTAAATGTTTCATAAATGAAAAGATAATAAGGAATGCACAAATATTTTCTGCAGCACCTTCATTTTATATGCCTTCATTATATTTAATATATCACAATTTTAACCACCTTTCCATTCCTACTTGTTTTCCACATTTTTGGTCATTCTCTTTTGATATCCAGACAGCAAGCTTATCTCTTTCTTTTACCTCCATCACTTCCTATCTATCTATCTATCTATCTATCTATCTATCTATCTATCTATCGTAGTAGTAGTAGTCGGCACCCACTTGTATCTCAGATTGTCATCCTCTCTCCTTATTCCCTTTCTCTGCTCTTGTGGTAGTGACAGAGATTACTGTGAAGGTCCAGACTACTCCTGAAGAGTAGTCAAACTCTATTTGCCAAGGCCATTTGCATGAATTTGATCTTGGTGGACAAATCTGTGTGAGGAAGAAGCCCACACACTTGACCAGAAGTGCCTCTCTTGTGACTCAAAGGGCATTGAGATAGGTGAGATCTGGCAAATCTGGTTGCATCAGGCTGTCAGATTGTTGGTTTGTTAAGGTCTGCCTTGATTATGCCAGCTTGACTGGCACTGCCCTCTTCCACTGGTTTAGACATTGAGACTGTGTAGATCTTTGCCTATTTTACTGTTGGGGTCCTCAGGAGTTGGTCGCATTCAGTCTGTTCCCTCCTCAACCTTACTAGCACTGAAACTCCAGAAGGCTTTTATTTATTTTTTTTCCTTTTGACTGATTTTATTTTTGTCTTAGCCTCCTACTTTTGCTCTTTCACACACTCTTTCCCCTCTTCCTAATTCATTCTCATTTAATTATATAAGTTTCTTGGTCAAATGTATAATTGATTCCAGCTCACGAAACCCAGAGATCAAGCAAATACAATACTTTGATCCAAGCTAGAAAAGCATTAGTACCCATATATATATACAAATAACCAAAATAATTGTATGTTTTAAAGTGCTGAAATTTTGATGGAAATATTTGGTGCACTTTACACTATTTACATTGTTTGGACTGTTGCCCTCCTCTCTATTAAGATCACTGCTCCCCGTGGGATGAGTTTGAAATAATAGACAGAGAACATCACTGGAAAATACGAAAACTTAAGGAATCAGTGCATATGCTAGTCCACAAAAATCTCCTAAGCCGGCCAAGCATAGACATGGATATAATATAGGAACTAGTCATACGGAGTGCTGGAGTAAACAATAATAACAACAAATTCAAATATGAGCTCTGGTAAAAAATGGTTACTGAGAAATTTGCTTTATAAGTCCCAAAAATTCATACACTGATATCCTAAAGGACATATGACCCAGTGGATAAACATGCTGGTTGAAGTAATCCAGTGATTTGCCCCAAAAGAGTTATGAACAAAAAATTAGAGAGTTGATTTAAAGGGAAATAACTGAAACTGAGAGATCTGGAAGAGGCATGGTATGTGGAACTAGAACAATCTACCCTGGTGGACAAAATAAAGGGTTCAGTTTGAAATTCCAATCACCTGAAGAAGGCCGAAGGGAAACATTGTGTATATGGCAACAAAAATGAGGACAACAGTCTGAACAATGTAAATAGTGTAAATAGTTACAATATCTCATCTCAGAAATATAGACAGATGATGATAAATTTACATAAATTAATAAAACAATATTCATTTATTCTTCATGTAAGATAAATAATTATTATCCCCAATGTGTTTCTGAAAAATCTCTCTAAAAAAAAATTTCTAAAAATATAGTTTAAGAAAAAACTTAAGTTTGAAAATTTAAAAAAATACAAAGAAATATACAGATACCAATGTTGTAAGCACATTTTTAAACTTGGCATTTGTAAACAACAACTAGGTTCAGTAAATCTGTAAAAAGATTTTACACTGTATTGATATTATGAATAGGAACTCCTTTATAAATCGATAAAAATATTTTTAATTTCTGACAAATGTCATGGCTTAAAGAATGTCTAAGGAAGGTTAATCTACAAAAATTATTCCCTGAAATAATTTACCTTAGCTTTAGAAGTGGAACATTGTATTTAAGTTGTGCCATTTTCTTAATACTAAACAAACAAGAATTATAGACAGGCCTCTCTTCTCAGCTTTATAAACGAAAAAAATAACTTCTTGATCTAAAGCAGATACTATAGAAGACTCAGAAAATAGAAGTTTCCATTATATTGCTAAAAATGACAGATCTTTAAAAATCATGAAATAATTACATTATGTTCACTGAACAATATAGTATTCTAAAGTTTTCTTCACTTCATTTTTCTTTGTCCTCTGTTTAATTGTACTGTAAAAATATATATTTAAAAAAATAAAATTAGAGTTATTTTTATTTAAATGGTGCTTTATTGCTCATGTAAAAGGCTGGACTAAAAAACTTTTACAACTAAGCACAGATAAACCAACATGACTCTTGTAAATTTAATAAATGTTTAACATTTTTAGTGCAACATATAACAACATGAAATATAGGGTGATAAAAAAAGTGTTTTGTTAGATTGCATAGTGTTTTTGCTGAAGAAATTAGATTCAACTGTAAAAAAAAAGGCATAATTATCAGAAAAAAAATCAGTAGATAACAGTCACGACAGTGTTTTGCCATTTGTTTTCGATTTTGGTCCATGGCATATCTTTTAATAGTTTTGTTTACTTGCTAGCTGGCTGAATCAAATTATTATCTGCAGATCAATTTGATCTCCAGTCTCAAATCTACACTGACTGAACACTTGTGTACAAAGATTAGGAGAGAATAAGCAGCCTCTTGTATAAAGGTGCTGTCTGATAAAAACTGACTACAACCATTCACATTTTCATACCTTTTATTTATAAATTTGTGAATCTAATAAGAATAGCTTTCTTTAAGTTATATTACTTTACATTTCAAAGCATTTCAATAAGAAATGCCATTCTTGGTATGACAATAAACTACATCCGAATCCTGGGTAAGACAATAAACTACATCCAACAGCAAGACCTCTGATCAGGAGGTTTTGAGGAGTGTGGAACCACCTCTTAATTGTTGGTGTTCCCAGGTCCACTGTGACCTGGGGTGGTAGCACATGTTAGGGTCCCAGCTATGGGCAAATAGTTAACACCCAAACTTGTGTAAAAATAGGTTTTAATACCAGAAATACTGTGTAATAAAAAAAGGAAAAATTATTATCAGCAATACTTAAAAAAAATACCAATAATACAAACAGCTATACATTCTTTAAAAAAAAAATTAGAGAATGGAACTAGAAATAGTGCAAACAGAATATTACCAAGTGAGTAATTAAAAAAAAAAAAACTTTTTATAAAAATAAAACCATCCAAGATTGTAAATTTTGTAAAAGAAGTTGGATTGTACTCAAAAATATGAGTAATTGAAAAATGGTTCAAATATATATGTATACATACACACCTTTTTTATGAAACTATGAATCTATTTAAAAAATTTTGTTGGCATTAAATGACCCACTGAGGTTGATATACCATAAAACAAAACTACCAACCAACTAACAATAAGAAATGGCTTTCTCAAAAATTTACAATGGCCTCTTGGATTAATTAGGACATGAGGTGATATTCAAAGGTTTGGGGAATTTAACCATGAAAAAATAACTTACCGTAATACCACTTTTCTATTATCTTATTTGAAGTAATATGTTACCTGCTGTTTGCACAGTAGCTTAAAAAAGGGTAGCAGCAAAATTCTGTACTACATTTGGCTTATGCATGGTGTTCAAACTTTTGGCTTACACTTTGTACATTGGGTAAACTTAAATTATTTGAGGTAATATAAATATCTCAGAGGATACTTGAAATAAATGATGGACATGCTGGTGTCATAAGCTACTGAGAATTAGCACTTTCTGATGAGTACTCTAGACTGTTCTGATCTGCTTCAACTAATTTTTTCAGAATCTGTTTTCAACCGAGTTAGCTTAAAGCCAATAACATTAATCTTAAATATACCTTAAATATTATTTTTTTACTACTTAAAAATTTAAGGAATTTGATCCTGGAAACAATAACTGCTACTATAAAGTTATTCCTTGTCTATTGTCTTTTATAGTATACATATAAATATTTGTACTAATTTCAGCTCATGCATTCACTGTTGAAAGATTATACTAGCTTTGCTAACCATTATTCCATGGAGAAGTATCCAAACTTATATGTATTTATATATGTTCATGAAGTTTTGGTGTGGTTCATTTCATCCTTTAGAATATCATCAGACTAAAGTGATGTTTACATAGATGTGATTACATAAACGCATGAAGGAGAGGGGAAACTGAAATTTTAAATTTAAAACTTTTTTAAACTTTGGATATATAGTCTAAACAAATTCACTTGGTATTTTTTTCTTTTTGTTCATGTTTCCATCACTTCTGTTATTAAATAAGGCTTGTAAAATATTTAAAAATAGAAAAACAGATCTTCCATTCAAACTCAGTGAATCAAAATATACTGTTCTAACCACTAACTCTATCACAACTACTATTGAAAAGAATTTATACAAGCTTAACATAGAATTTATTACAACTACTTCGAAAACAATAAAAATTTATTTAATACAAAATAAAATAATAAGTTAAAACTCAGAGAGATTTACTCTATCACCTGTAATAATTGCCACAAGAAATACATGGGAGAAACCTCAAGGAATTTAAATAAAAGATTACATGAATACAAAAGGGATCTTTTACAAAACAAAAAAAAATAAATGCATTAGTTGCTCAATGTAATGAGTCTGACCATAATTTTAATTTAAAAAAAAAATACTTTAATTAAAAGAAAAAGCAATTTACTGAGACCAGAATGTATAGAAATTGCTTTAATTGCTAGATCAGCTATAGTAAATTTACATCCAGGTTCTTACAAAATTTCATTATTCTTGGCAGATCTATTATCATGTAGGATATTAAATAACAAAAGTGATGGGAACATGAAAAAAAAGAAAAAGAAACTAAATGAAATCAGCTAGATTATATACCTAAAACATATATTAAAAAAAAAAACTTAATTTAAAATTTTCAACATCCCTTTTCCTTCATGCGCATGTGTAGTCAAATCAATGTAAACATCACTTTAGTCTAATGAAGTCCTAAAGGATGAAACACATTACAAGAAAAATGTTTCCAATTTGTTGCTGTTGTTTTGTTTTTGCTAAAATTGTTCTTGATATATAAAAATTTATATATCCTTTCCCCATATATGTGCATGTAATAATATTTCCTTCCTACTTATGTCCTTCA